GCTCCATCCCTCACTCCCCCCTCGCTCCCTAGCTCCATCCCTCACTCCCCCCTCGCTCCCTAGCTCCATCCCTCACTCCCCCCTCACTCCCTAGCTCCATCCCTCACTCACCCCCTCGCTCCCTAGCTCCATCCCTGACTCCCCCTTCCCTCCCTACCTCCATCCCTAACTCCCCCTTCCCTCCCTAGCTCCATCCCTGACTCCCCCTTCCCTCCCTACCTCCATCCCTAACTCCCCCCTTCCTTCCATTTCCGTTCTCGTTCTTTTTATAGCTCTTATTCTACGCACTTCTCTCTTTCTCTTTCTCGTTCATTATCCGTTCCAGACGTTTGTACTGGAAATTCTGAAAGCTGGCGGCAGAGCCAGTGGTTGTGAAGNCCCCCTGCTGAAAAAATCCTAGCTACGCCACTGCTCCCTCCCAGAGAAATGTAGATACCTTCCCAGAACACAACACGCGCGTGGCTTTGCGCGACGCACGCGCGCGCGCGTCTGTGGACCACGATTGTGCGTATACGTACGTGCCTGCGGCGTGCGTGCGTGCTTATAATATGTTATATATATGCGTTTTATATGCGTTTTTTTATGTGTGTATTAAGAGAGAGTAGGCCTATGCGCATGTAATTCAAGATATAGCTTTACAGTATATATGTATATCTTTAATAAAGCCTGAGTTAGCGGTCACATCTATATAGAACGGGAACCTGTCTAGAAAAGTTTAGTATAATTTCTTTCTAGTTTAGGAGTTTCTTTTCGGGGGCTCTGATACAGTGAGACCCCCACCCTTATAGAACGGATGCCTGCTTATAAAAGGCACTTTTAGCATTTCCTTCGATTAACCCCCTCTATAGAGATCTGGCCGTCTGTAGATCTATAGGTCGACAATCCAAAGTTGGTATTTGCGTTCGGTGATGGAGCAGACGTCGATAAACTCATAGATATGAATTCTATATCTATGATAATTTCTAATCTAATATATATTCTATATATATATATAGAGAGAGAGAGACGTTGTCGCGACGTTGCTGTGAGACGTTGTCGCGTACTCACTCGTTGTGTCGGATCCCCGCACCGCAGGACATGGAAGAGCTGCGGTCGTACCGGCAGCAGTGGCCGGCCAGCAGAGCAAGGAATCCCACGTTGCATCGCACGATAGCCCTAGAAACAAGCACCATAATTACCATCCGCCATTATTACTAGGTCTACATTATAGTGGAGTGATATGCCTAAAGATAAAGAAGAATCGGAAAGAGAAGGACGGATTATGGATAAAAATGATAGGAAGGGTAGGATAGGAAGAATAGAAGGAATAGACAAGAATACGATAATTAGTAGGAATTGCACGTGCAAGCATTCGTGTACGTGCGCGGATGCGTATATGAGCGCGCATGCGTGTATGTGCACGGGCAGGCATCCACACGCCTATGTGAACGTGCGCACGTTTAGTTAGATTGGTTAGCTCTCGTCTAGAATATTTTCGGTTCGCATCGCCTTTCAGCTCGACCATCGGTATAGCAGCATGAAGAATAGGATGGATAGAAGAAATCATAAAATGAATAAATATGAATATATGAATAGGTACGATACGAATGATAGATGCGAGTAGAGCGGAATTGATCGAAAGGATCATGAATAAAGGGCTAAGAAACATAACGGAAGAAAACCCGTCTACCCATATAATTGCACCAGGCGTACATCGATGACTAATGTTAATAGTAACTCCAGTTCTTGCGCTCATTTGACATCAATAACCTTATACTCTGTTTTCATTGTGAACGAGATTTCGAAACGAACATCATCGCACGAGAATGAAAAATAAATAATTATATACTATAAGTCTATGTTTTAATGCGGAATGTTTTATACCTTGTTGAAAAGGGAGATTGTCCTTCGCCTCCATTCTGGCGCGGCAGTTCTCTAGTGACTGGATTGGTATATTCTGTGAATAAACAACAGGTAGTTAACCACTGAAACAAATACTGCCAAATATATAGAGCAATATTACATTTACGGGTAACACAATGAATTATATTAGGCACTCACGTACATAGTCAACTAAAGCGCGATTCCGAGGCGTCTACCTCTGCAATTGAACACAGTTTTAATGGGTGCATGTTTTAAGTTCACATTTCGTTGCTCTTTACATTCCAGCCGTTATTCCAGTCTAGTCCACTGCCAATCATTTGGAGTTGTGAGCGCTACAACGTACGTCCCCCCCCCCACCCCCACACACGCAAATGTCCACCCATTCTGCAACACTGTCCATATGCATCCCAATATCATATAAAGTTATGCTGCTTATATATAGAGCTTTTATATTCTTTAGTTATGTTTGCTATAGGCTGTTTGCTTATAGCGAGGTAGAGAGAGAACGCGCGCGAACGAGCGAGAGAGAGAAAGCGAACGAGCGAGTGAGAGAGAGAAAGAAAGCGAGAGAAAGAGCGAGCGAGAGAGAGAGAGAGAGAGAGAGAGAGAGAGAGGGGGGGGGAAGAGAGAAGAAGTAAGTAAGTAAATCTACTATAGTAGAAGACGTACTACTACTAACACTACACGATATAGTAGTACGACAAACAAAAAACTAAAATTATTTATTTACTTACT